CTTAGGGAATAAGTCCCATGCCATGCTTTGGGCCGAGCAAAAAGGGGAGGATTGCATTTATGGAGGTTTATTGTAGAGTAGTTTGAGTCCAGTTTACTTCTATAAGTCTTAATACCATTAGAGAAGAAAGAGAAAATATTCTTCTTTCACAACATTGGCTTTTTGGTTTTTGTTGTAAAACCTAAATCAAAAATTTAAAACGAAAACTACCAAGACATTTGCTTATCAATCACGCAAACGATTTGGTAAATCCGTTGTTAAACTTGATTTTTGTTATCAAACTAGCAATTTTAGAAACATGCTTAGCAGAGAGTAATGCTAATTGGATATATTTCTTGTAGAAGCTGATTCATAAAATTGATTGTATTCATATCTTTGTTCGTAAATCTCCAACGAAAATGTGTGGACACTTGCAGATTATCGAAAATTTTAATTTTTATTTTTACTAACCTAATACTAAATTACAAACAATGCTCTAAGTAAAGTTGTTGACAATATTAACGCATACATTTCATGAAGGAAGATTCAATATTAAGCGAATTATGATCACGTAAATTTGTACTAACAATTTTCAAACTTTGGTTGTCGAAGAGTTTTGTTTTAACGTATCTTATGTGATTAAAAACGTTTGAAAAGTCTTGAAATACGTAAACATTAATTTTTACAGCGTAAGATTAAAAATTGGTCAAATAATAATCCAAAACATAAAAATAGTATTATATAATTAGACACGCTCCCAGAACGCCAATCTTTTATCCCATAGTTAACGTAGAAATCGTACCTGAATGAGTACATACAGCCTCCTAATTGCCCTCTTTCTAGGGCCAAAACATTATATCAAGTGTCCTATTACAAGTCACCCGCGGTAGTGTAAATTAACATGTTCAGTTTCGATAAGTCGTTTTCTACTGAAAGCCAGAATATCTGAAGTAAAGAATGTTTTGACATTTTTGCTATGCTGTAGTTTTTGAGTAACAAGTAAATAATAAATGGACGGTTGGATTTCATTTATCAATAGTTCAAGAGTTAGAATTTTAGACTTCAAGTCATTAGTTAATAGATGAATTATGAACATTTGACAGCCTGCATATTTATAATTTTTTCTAACTGCCGCAGTAATTAAATGTTTCAGACTTGGATTTCGGTAGAGCTGCGAAATGACTATCGTCCTGAACTACTCTATCTCAGTACTGCAGAAATCACTTGATCAAATCGCGTTCCCTCCCCCTCTTTAATAGCGTTGAGCCCGTTCTTGAAAGATTTCAAACTGTGCCAGCAGTTTGCTCTTCGGCTCTTCGCACCCAGCTCTAGACTACACTCTAAGTCCTAGTAATATAAGTTCCGCTAGTTATAAGATAAGTTAATATTAATTTAATAGAATGGCTAAAAACTATACCTATGTTACTACTTTAACCACCCTTAAAATATTGCGCTTCTTCACGGTTTCGCTGCTTTACTCTACTACCGCACTTTTTTCGATTCTATGATTTGGAAGCTTCTGGTATCAGGTCTCTGAAGGTTAGATTCGGTCTGGATTGTTTCCGTCTCTTTTCAATAAGAAAGGTTGTGGTAACAGATCGGTAGTTGATCGGAATACCTAGTAGATCACTTGGTTGGCGTTGGCGAATACGTTGAGTAGACTTTAGCGCGACGATTAGAATGTTGACATCACTATTTTGTTATACAGTCAAAAGCAATCTTAGTACAAGTGGGTCTCGATATAACGACACGCTCGGTTCCAATCCAAATGGTCACTATATCGAGAGTGTCCTTATATCGAGAATTAACTTACATACGATAACTAAGTAATATAAAATTTTTGTTCTAAGATTTCTGTCGTTATAACGAGATGTCGTTATATAGCAGTGTCGTTATCAAGACTCATTTGTATAGAGTGAGATCATGTGTCGGGAAACTTGATATCGAGGAAATGACTCGTATGTAACCTCTCAGTGTATAATAGATATTATAATAGTTAGTTTGGCTATTCATAATGTTAATTATTTATTTTACTGAAGACACTTTTGTGCGATATACGTTAATAATAATAGAGAAGCAGACTTGTGTGCGTTGTGTAGTCGTGTACCGCACGTCAGTGTGAAAGGCCGGACTGTTCGCTCGGTTATGTAGCCGATAAACCGTGTTTTATTGACTGTTAAAAGTTCGTTATTTGAGGACTTGTTTGTGAGTAGCAGCATCGCAAAGGCATTGTTCATTGTATATTAACTTTTTGATAACATTGTATTTGCGCTTTGGAGGAGGAGAAGTTGTTGTGAAGCAATACATGCGCTATGAAGAGGAGCGTCAGGGTATATACACTACCCGGACAAAAGTATCAGACCCTCTAACTTTATTAATTACTCAAAATTATACATAATAAACGAGGCAAAAAATTTTATACGTTATGCTCTTGGTATTGAAAAACGCATCACATTTTTTACGTGCTGTTTACAGCTTTTTTTTTTTTTGTTTTTGTAAACATAAAATGACTGATTGGTAATTTTGAATCGTTGACTTAAAATGTCTAAATTAACTGAAGCTGAACGTGGTCAAATTATTGGCCTTTTCAAAGCCGGTGCTACAAAAGCCAGTATTAAAAAAACGCTTGGTTTCTCTAAAACAACAGTTATCAGAACTATTCAAAATTTCAAAAAAGAAACAGTCTTGTAACTCAGCCACGAAGTGGTCGTCCAAAAATTTTGAGTTTTGAGCATCAACGAACATTAAAACAAATCGTTAAGAATAATAACCGTAAATCAGCTGAACAAATTACAAATACATTCAATGAAAAAACTGGACTTAATGCTTCTACGAAAACTATTACAAGAAATTTGCATGACTTTTCTCGTGTACCAACAGTTAAACCTCTTCTTAATGATCGACAAAGGAAAAATCGTTTAGACTGGTGTCTTGAAAGAAAGGATTGGTCCATCAGAAAGTGGAAAAATGTCATTTGGAGTGATAAAAGTCGCTTCACTATATTCGAGAATGATGGTCCAAATCATGTTTGGAGAACTCCTGGAAGACACAATATCAAGAACATGGTTCCTTCAGTCAAGCATGGAGGTGGAGGTTTAATGGTTTGGGATTGCTTTTCTGGCAAGGGCTTAGGTCCATTAGTAAGAGTGGATGGAAAAATGAATGGGTTTGATTATATTCAAATAATTGAAACTTATTTGTTGTCATTAATTAACAGGATATCTGTTTCAGCATGATAATGCACCAGTTCATACTGCAAAAACTGTTGAAGAATGGTTTGCAGAAAAAAAGATCAAAATGTTAGCTAATTGGCCAAGTCAATCACCAGATTTAAATCCCATTGAACACTTATGGTCAGAATTGGACAGACGTATTAGAAACCGTTCTCCTTTAGCAAAAAATTTAAAAGAACTAGAGACTGCATTGCAAGAAGAATGACAAAAAATTTCTAATACTGTTTTAATGAACCTGATTGAAAGTATGCCTCGAAGAATCGAAGCATGCATAGCAAATAATGGCTGGCCAACAAAATGTTAACTATTTGTGATAGATTTATGAACAGTTAGACTAACAGTCATTAAAATTTTAGCCTCGTTTATTATGTATAATTTCGAGTAATTAATAAAGTTAGAGGGTCCGATACTTTTGTCCGGGTAGTGTAAAGTGTAAGCATTTTTGCCTATAGATAATAGAGTGGTTATGATCGCGAAGGCTTGTCGTTGTACTTTTAATAAGAAACGAAAAGTGTAAATGAATAAAACAAATTGCGCAAGTTACAAAGTTATGTTACATTCATAAGAATAGAGCATGCAAAACGTATTAGATAACTTTTATGATTAATCGCGTATTTCGGAAGGAAATAAAGCTTGTGCATTAACTTTTTTCGTGCACTGTGCAATGCTGATGGCATATAGTATATTCCCTCTCGATTATTTCTGGTCATGTCAATAAATTGTTGTTTACTTGGTCATAATTACGTAGCCACATACAGTCCCCGGCGAAAATAATGGTAGCCAGTATTTTTTTTTTTTTAACATATCAATTTTGTTTTTATATAACAGAAGTTCAAGACTACTTATAATTGTTCCTTTTACATCTATATTATAAAATTTGTTTAAGTTGACAAAAAGCAAATGTAAAAGCTTTTTTACATTAACAGATTAGATTATATCAGGCAAATATATTTTTCGACTTATCTTCTAAATTTTAATTAACAAGTCTAAAAACGCGACCATCTTATAATATGTTTGAGACAGTTATTATAAGTTTATACGAGGGTATTTTTAATCATGCCTGACATATTAAGTAAATAAGAAAAATAGTATGTTCTCTCTCGCCATATTTAGTAGTAGGTGGTTTGCCAAATTTGGCAATAGGCTTGCGTCTTATGCCTGGTCCATTTTGAGCTAGTCAATAATGATACTTCCCAAATGCAACAGGGGAAGTAGCGGTAGCTATCTCCCCTACCAAATTTAGTAACTCGAAGCGTTACCATATCTGGTAGGGGAGGTACTTATGAGAACGCCCACATTTATATATTACTATAAGAAATAGCCGATTTTTGTATAAAACTTAAAAACGATTGTCACCGCCATTATTTTCGCCGGGGACTATGCACAATCACGTGTCACTTGGCAATAAAGTCGTACTTTCACTTTTATTAGCGTATTCTATATTATATTTACACAAACGTCAAGACAAATCTTGCATATTACCGTAGAGCACTGAATATAGTACCCCCCTTAAATAGTATCCCCCTAAATTAGGACCCGGGTACAATTCAGGAATTTTTGGTAAAGTTTTTGAAATGTACCCGGGTACAAATAGTTTATCGTACGTCACGTGTTACATATACTATGGTAATAGTACAATGCGAGGAATTTCAAAGTACCCCCCTAAAATAGTACCCTCCTCCGTACATAGTACCCCGGGTACATCCCCCCGGGTACAATTCAAAAACTTGAGGTGTTCTAGATATGTACCCGGGTACTATATTCAGTGCTCTACGGTAATATTGGGTATCAGGTTATTGTTGGCGTTTCTGTCTACCAAAGGCCCCGATAACCTTTCTCGAGTGTCCTCAGTATCAAAGAAATAACGCGTGCATATTAATCCAATTACCATGAAACCAGCAGAAATAGCGATAAGTGGTCCAAGAAACTCGTTTGCGTTGGTTGGATCTTTTCCACCAACATCACGAAGTTTGCTAAACCCTATCTGCGATATTACAGCACCCAGTTTACCGACTGCTGCACTTATACCATATGCTGTAGCACGATACCTTGTTGGAAACAACTCGGCTGATATTATAAAAGTAATGCTGTTGGGTCCAAAGTTTTGGAAAAACTAGTTGGCAATAGAAGAAAAAAAGAGTGGATTATTAAGTTATATGATGATAAGAATTCTAATACCATAGTCACATTTTATCATGCACATCATTACCTGTATCAAAATAAACATGACGAGAAACGCAGCTCTATTGTTTACAGTATTATTATATGTCACCCCGAAAATAAGTAACAAAACTGCGGACGCAGTAAATCCAATATACATAATCTTTATCCTGCCTACTCTTCTATTATCTATAAGTGCCATGGTCATCAAATATCCGGGGATAGTGCCAAGCAAGGTAATAATAATATTACCAGTGCTAGCGTTTAATAGTTGGGTGTAAGCGCCTTCACTCGTTTTGCTGACATCAAATCCAATTTCTTTGAAAATTGTTGCGTTATTTAATCCAATTCCATAGAAGGATATGTCGATGCAAAACCACGTAATACATGTCCCAATCAAATATTTTAAATAGCCCGGATTTCCACGGAAGAATGTGTAAAAGTCTGTCAAGTTTGTCCCACGTACATTTTCTTCCTCTGTTTGAGGATACCGGATTCCCCGTTCATTTACTATTTGATTCATATCATGGTTAGCCTGTTCGGGGTTTTGCCAGACTTCTATCTTATAAACGGGCGTTTCAGGAATGGTCAAACGAAAGAAGAGAGCCGCTAAGCCTGGAACGGCTCCAAAACCAAGAACAAGACGCCATACGGAATCTAGGTTATCTTCATTTTCGTTGATAGAAGAACGGAATGCAGCGAGCATGGCAACAGAGACCACGCCTGCAAAAAGAATTCCCAAGCCCTGTTGGGCAAAGACCCCTGCCATCCATCTTCCTCTATTACTTGGCGGGAGAAACTCGGCCGTAATAACTAGGAACGAAATTAATGATTTAGGATAAAACAAAAATTCTGGTACAAAAATGGTGGTTATGCGAAGAGGGCTTACCTGCACTGAGTGGATAATTGCCACCAGCCCCAATACCAAGAATAAATCGGTAAACAATCAGACTACTGATAATTGACACTTTTGGACTATTACCAGCCAATGTGGAACTTATCGTTGCTCCTACAGAGAGCATTAATTCCACACCATACATCTATTTTCCAGAATTATGGTTAGAATAAAGTATTTCTACAATTACATTTTAAAACAAAAAATCTGGGTTGTTTTCCAATTCTGGACGGACCTTTTTCCTTCCATAGCGATCTGCCAAATAGCCAAATAGCAACTGACCGATAATGGCGCCGAGTTGGGCGCTGATTTTCAAACACAAATCTGTGTTTTCAGGAAGTTCCTTCTGTTCCTTGTAATAGACGTATCCGAGCATTAAGCTCACAAGGTTGATGGCAAACAAATCGTATGCCGCCGTGAAGAAACCTGCTCCAGTAACCAAGCATAGCCGAACAAAAAACCAGGTTTTGTTATTATTGTTCATCAATGCTATCGCGTTTTCTCGAGGATTATTCATCGTGGTGGAAAAAATATAGATCTTGGAGAATGCAAGCGTAATTATAATATTGGTTGTAATCGTTTGTTACAATATTTGCAACCTGCAAGCATTATAGCATCATTTTATAAGCAATGCGCACGAACATGGAGTGACACTTATTTGTTGGACCATTCTACAAAATTTCCGTGTATTGAAGTATTTACTCATTGTTACAACTTATTATTAATACAAATTAGGATCATTGCATACAACTCGAGCAGAAAGTTCGAGTCCTTTATTCATGTTTACTGAATGTAATCCTGATAGGCTACGTGTGTGATCGATGTTTATCGTTACACGTATTACGGTGGTCAATTAGTTACCGCTTTAGTGAGAGATTTCTGTTTTCAGAGCAGTATATCGTCAGAAGAAGAAGAAAAATAATAACAGTACATACATATTATCAGCCACAAGAACAATAAAGTGAGAACGGATATGTCTATATAAAGCGAAGATTCTATATTCATCGTAACTGACATATAATAATAACATTTTCTTAAACCAGACTTGACATTGTGTTACACGGCACTCACTTCAGCCAATCAAATAAGCACATGAGAACATGCCTTACTCCTCGCAGTGTCTGTTGTTGGAGTAGTAGTACACGGTGTACGCACTTGTGAGAATTGCTATTATTAACCTTGTTTACACTATACCTTTGAATCAATTTCCAAACTAGATTGTCTTGCAGAATCTCATTTAATGTCTGGTCATTTACATTTGCTCTAGATGCCATGAACGGAGTCTTCAAGTCCGGTTGCTTTGAGTTAGACTGCAGCAAAAATATTGTTATTATCAACCAGAAAACTGACTAAAACATTCACCTTTTTTTATCCGAAAAAGAATGCTGGGTATCAAGATAACTTGGTATTACCGGCGAAACCTGTTTAAATCGGTGGCCTTAGTTTGCTCACCTTTTTTTTTTGGTCGGTCTTTGGTTATCAGATAAACCGATTTTCATACCAACCGGGTAAATTTGATGATATCATTTATTGTAATATTTTAATTTCAATGTTGCACCAGTAACACATATTAATAACACGGAAGTATTTATTTCCTAATGATACGGTATTCTATTTACTATTACAATAAAAAGAGTGAAGCAAAAGAATATTAAATAGTAATTATCATTATCATCATTATTATTATGACAGGTTTACTCACGATTGTGTCGATATGCTTCCGTTGACTGTTATCAAACCGTGAATTCCTGTGTGATAGGAAATCTGTTGCACATTATGAATTTCAGTCATATTCTTCGCGGACTTCCTCTTATCTGCTTTATTCTATTTCACTAATAGTCTGCCATCACGTCGCTAAAAAATTCTTTTGATCAAAACGAGAAAAGCCAAACTTGGGTTTAAAGTTTTGGTTGTAGTGGAACTGGACGTTTTGAGGACAAATTGTATATAGAGTTGCATAACTTTGATTTATATCCTCAAATGCTATTCAGCATGTCGCATTATATGAATAATCTTCTACTCTTACACAATCTTCGGTCTCTGAAAGGAGAAGCCGTTTATACGAGACGTTGGCAGAAATTCTTATCCAACTCAACGAACAAAACGTCACAAGAACTTCTAATCCGAATTCTAATGTTGCTTCTGGATAAAAACACGTTTTCTCAACAGATTGATTGTTACTGGTTCAGACAACGCAGATCAACCTCAATTTGATCAAAAAAAAAAAAAAAACTAATCGAAAATGCAAAAACAATCCGTAAAGCGAGAATTGCGTTTATCTAATACAGCAAAAAAATTTCTGACTTAACAACGACTAATTTAATCTTCCATCATATAACGAAGTAGAATAATACTTAATTAAACAGCACTCTTCAACATTTTTTTTTTATTACTAGAAGTAAACGAAATGCTTTAATTTATACAAAAGTCATTGTCTATATCGAATAACATAATTATCTACGCCAATTAAATACCCCCAAAAATTATATCCTAATCCATTTCCATAAAAGGATATACTGATGACAGTAAAACTCAGTCAAGCCTGTTTCTCTTATATTTTCTTGCTCTGTTTGACGATAGCAGATTTCCTGCTCATTTACGATTCGATATATACTACGGTTAGCCTGTTCGGGGGTTTGCCTGACATCTGTCACATGACGAAAGAAGAAAGCTATTAAGACTTGAATGGCTCCAAAACCAAGAACAAGACGCCACACGGTATTTTCGTTATCGATATAACAGACAGATGCGAGACCATATGGATTAAGTGCGAAATATAGTACTCGGTTATCTGCATTTTCGACGATGGGTGCATTTTCGACGATGGGTGCATTTTCGACATTTTCGTCGATAGAAGAACGGAGTGCAGCGAGCATGGCAATACAGAACATAAAAGTTCCTATTCGGGCAAAGAACCATAGTACTTGTAGTACTAGTAGGACTAGGAACAAAATTAGTGACTTAGGGTAAAACAAAAATTTTGGTACAAAGTGGTTATGCGAGAAGGGCTTACCTGCACTGAGTGAGCGGTAAAAAATTCGACTACTGATAATTGACACTAGCCGTTCGAAACCCCGGTTTTTGTCATTATCATTCATCAATGCAGGGATCACCCTGTAGTAA